TCTGCTCAGCTCGCTCTCATTGGCTGCAGCGGCGGGGTTCTGATCAGAGCCTCTAATCCGGTCGGCGACCTTCAGGTTCTGTCTGATTGTGGGTGCCAATAATCTGCTCTGAGCAGCCTCGGCTCAGGGACGCCCCCCGCTACTGTGGGGAGGGCGAATCGGACCCAAACTCCACCCAGTCACCGTCTGGCGTGCGGCCGGCGTTACGGAGCAGCCAGGTCGAAGTTTTTAAATCATCTAGTGGGAAATTTGGGTCACACCTGACACACGTCCAGAAATCTTTCCTGGACCATAAATAACCTTTTATTAAAACCACCTCACAGGTGGAGAGGCTGACGTTATCTTTTAACAGTGACTCTGAAACCTCAGCCCCCGGGCCCCAGGGCCCCGGGCCCCCGGGCCCCCGGGCGCCAGGGGGCATCTCCTACGACCAGTCCAGCTGTGACACAAGATCAGACTCTAAGCAGGAGGGAGAGAGAGTCCTCACAACACACACAGCTCTGAATGGGATTTAAAAAGCCTGAGACCAAACGTACGTACAGACCCGCGGCAGCAGCTCCCACAACCACGCAAGACTGTTTTAGAATATCAGAAAGAAAACAGAAGCGTCATCACTTTGTTTTTACCTTTAAATGTTCTCAGGATGTGTTCAAGCCGCTCAGGCGGCGCTCAGCTCTGATTTATTGCCCTGACAGTTCACATCATAAGACAGATCAGAATAACACGACGTCACTCGCTGTCGTACTGAAGGAAGCCACAGAGGTTAGCTCAGGTTGGCTCATACTCGCTAACCCTCCCGGTTTCCTCCAGATAACCGTCTGTCCTTTTTAGGCCCGACTAAGGATTTACAGAATTTGTTTCCAGTGTGAAAGAAACCACCTGATTTCAACCCAAACTATGATCCTTTCCTAAACCTCACCAAACTGTGACGGCTCACAACATTAACCACTAGTTTTATTTTGAAAGTCATACTTAAACGTGTTTCCCAGGGTGTTAAGAAGCGACGCCGAGGGGGCTGACCAAGCGTCCGTATGTGACCAGTTCTTTAAACTCACCAGGAGGATTTTATTTTCATCATCTGCAACATTTAATGTGTGTTTTTATTTCGTTAACCTGAGCTGATTATTATCGCTGCTGCAGAGCTTCTTCATGAGCAACAGTGAAATGAAAGACCTGCAACCACCCACAATTCACCGGGGGCCGGGGAGCGAGGAAGAGGTGGAGGGTTTGAATCCCCGGATGACGTGAATGTGTGATAACACCCTAAAGGTCAGACCGATGTTTCCTCCTGTTTGTTTGATAGAAAGCACAGCGAGCAGCTGCTGAATGACGAGCCTTTAAACATGAAGCAGCTTCTTAACATCAAACCACGCAGCTCTGCAGAGTCGGGTGACCAGACGCCCCCGTTTTTTGGCGGCCTGTCCCCCGTCTGGAGCTGTCCCCGGAAACGTCCCCGACTAAGGATTTACATAGTCCAATCAGAATTTGAAGTTTTTTTAAGTTTGAAGTTAAGGCTCTACCTTCAGGATGATTCTCGCACTCTAAAAACATTTATTGAATTTTTTCTTTTCACATTTTGTTATTTACAGCATTAAACATTGAAATGTAAATTGTAACAGGCTGTGTGTTAACTTATTGGGAGAAAACTGGTAGTTCTATGTAAAATCAGACGCGGCGCACCCCCATATCGCCAAAATGGCATTATCCTTGTTTCGCTGCGAAGTTTCGACTGTGAGATTGACAGTCGATCAGGCTCCGCCCATCGAAGTATTGCAGCTTCGACTATTCAGGGTCAGCCTGTGTGTTAATCACAGACTGTATCAGCTGTTAAACTGAAATCAGCAGAGCAGACAGGACGCGCAGCGTGTTGAAGCTGCAGCGCCCGGCCTCTTTTATCTGGATCAAACAAAAAAACTTCATGTCCGTGGTGACAGCAGAGGTTTGAACCTTTGTTTAACAGAAGAATCAGAGTTTGCAGTTTCCAGAGTAACCAGGCCGGACGCTTAGTGACTGTAGCCAATGACAGAAGCCTGTTGCTGCTGATGGAGGATGTGTTTGGTGGGAGGATGTCTAATATCCTTGTTCATATGTGGAAAACAGACTGTAGCCTCTGATTAACATGACTTACTGCTGACTTCTGTATAAAATAAAGACAAGATCTCTTATATTATTTAACTTGCTGTGAACCGACTGGTCCTGTTTACCTGTTAAAACACCTTTAAATGGCCAAAACAACACATAACATGCAGTTTTTTCCCTCAAAATGACTCAATTTCATTCAGAAGTTATCTATGACAGGTTATAAAACTGAAATTGCCCCCTTTTTTATTTCATATGTAATAACATTATATTTTTTAATAACCTACTGACCACCAAACCTAAAATGTCCCCAGTTTTCCTTTCAGGAATCTGGTCCCCTCACTGCAGAGGAACAGGATCAGTTCTGGTGTCGGATACATTCATTATTGGTTTTAAAAGAAACATGTAAAATATAATCGGACTCCTTACATGGTTCTGAGAAACCAAAAGATAAAACATGACAGATGTGTTGAATGTCCAGAGTCGCCATCCCGGCTGCTGTTACTAACCTTCACACAGTTTGAGTCAGGAGCTAAAATAAGAGGCCTCATTGTGGCTTCGCTGCCTGTAATTCAGCTGCCATAAAAGCTGCTGACTGATGGTTCCTGCAGGATCTGCTCTGCATATCAGGCCCGAGCAGGCCGGACGCTGCCGACACAATAACACACACCAGGGACTGAACACACCAGCAGCTCGCGGCCTTGAAAGCTCGGGAAAGCAGAGACGAATCAGAAACGGCAGCCTTTAATCAGTTCACATTGGCTTTCTTGTCAAATATGCGCGGCGTTTTCCCAGCGGGACGATTTTTCCATCATCATTCACGTCTGTCTCTGAGCCGGTTTATGTTCGGTGTCACAGAAAAATGGCAGAAATCTGATCCATGAAAACGCAAAAGAAGAAGTTGTTGGAGTCACAGCAGCAAACAGGAGGAGCAGAAGTTCACTGATCAGCTGCACGTTCACAACATCTGGAAGCTGATTCCTGCAAACTGATCCGCCACTCAAACGCCAAACTCTAACGAACAAGAGCATTTTTAGATGACGAACTAAACTGTCTGCTTTAACTTTGAGACTCCTCCGTCATCAGTTTGGAGCGCTCGTCCAATCACGGCGCAGTATTTCAGGTGTCACCACATGATTTGTGTGAGGAATGGTTTTTCCTGGCCATCCAATTCTGCAGCTGTCCAAAGATTACCTTTGATAGATGATGTGAAATGACGAGAAGCTGAATTCAGCCGTGCAGGAGAGCCCGAAACAACGAGCTGTTACTGATGGAGCACGAGGGGGAGCACGAGGAGGAGCACGAGGACGAGGGGGAGCACGAGGAGGAGCACGAGGACGAGGAGGAGCACGAGGAGGAGCACGAGGGGGAGCACGAGGAGGAGCACGAGGACGAGGAGGAGCACGAGGGGGAGCACGAGGAGGAGCACGAGAGGGAGCACGAGGGGGAGCACGAGGAGGAGCACGAGAGGGAGCACGAGGAGGAGCACGAGAGGGAGCACGAGGAGGAGCACGAGGAGGAGCACGAGAGGGAGCACGAGGAGGAGCACGAGGACGAGGAGGAGCACGAGGAGGAGCACGAGGAGGAGCACGAGAGGGAGCACGAGGAGGAGCACGAGGAGGAGCACGAGGAGAAGCACGAGAGGGAGCACGAGGACGAGGGGGAGCACGAGAGGGAGCACGAGGACGAGGAGGAGCACGAGGGGGAGCACGAGGGGGAGCACGAGGAGGAGCACGAGGGGGAGCACGAGGAGGAGCACGAGGAGGAGCACGAGAGGGAGCACGAGGAGGAGCACGAGGAGGAGCACGAGAGGGAGCACGAGGAGGAGCACGAGGACGAGGAGGAGCACGAGGGGGAGCACGAGGAGGAGCACGAGGAGGAGCACGAGGAGGAGCACGAGAGGGAGCACGAGGAGGAGCACGAGAGGGAGCACGAGGAGGAGCACGAGGAGAAGCACGAGAGGGAGCACGAGGACGAGGGGGAGCACGAGAGGGAGCACGAGGACGAGGAGGAGCACGAGGGGGAGCGTGAGGACGAGGAGGAGCACGAGGGGGAGCGTGAGGACGAGGTGAGGACGAGGAGGAGCGTGAGGACGAGGAGGAGCACGAGGGGGAGCACGAGGGGGAGCGTGAGGACGAGGGGAGCACGAGGACGAGGGGAGCACGAGGACGAGGTCGAGCACGAGGACGAGGAGGAGACCTGTGGGCCTCGATCTCCTCCTCCATACTAAACTGTGGATCTGGTTTTGCTTTCGGATGAGAAACCACTCTGACCTGTGCTGCAGTGACTTTTCCATTGTGACTTATTCCCACAATTTCATCACAAAAAAACACTTTTTAGAAAAGCTGCTGCAGCGATCACAAAAGGCAGCGGGACCCTGGAGGGCCCCAGGAAACCGTTCACAGGTCACAAAGTACTTTACAGAAGACAAATAATAAAACCATGTATACAATGAGAGGTACCAGTAATAAAGAACCACAACAATGTGCCGGGCACGTCCCTCTGGGACCCGGTCTTGATCCGTCCTCTGGCCTTCGAAGCCACCGGGAGCGGGAGGAGGCGTTTTGCCTGATTTTACTGCTTAATGCTCAGCTGTTTGTGGATTTGGTCACTTCACTCTGATGTTCTGCCACACGCTCCATTTCCTTTTCATTGTTGAGATGTGATCAGCAGCTCGTTCTCACTCGTGACGTGTGGACGACATGAGAGTCAGTCTGAACGTCTGGCTGTCAGAGAGGAAGATGAGGAAGAGGAGTTCCTGTTGGACTCTTCCTTTAACATTAAAACGCGTCCTTTCTGTTTGTTCTCCCCTCAGGGGCCGAGCCTCTCTCTGGGTCCCTCAGAGGTGAAGGTGATCGTGAGTTTCTGCTGTGACCTCTGACCTCCCTGCAGCAAAAAGCTAGTTCCTGTAGGAGCAGCGGCAGTGCTGGATCCGCCCTACGGAGGACCAGTTTGGCTTTTAATGGAGACAGAATGATTTATCTTCTCGCTGCGTGCGAGTCTTCTCATGATGGAGGATGAAGCTCTAAAAACAGCCCAGCAGAGTGAGAATATGTGGAATGAATGCTGCACTTCTTCCCCTCCACGCTGTGACCCTGGATTATTAACTGCCGGGCTAAAAATGGCAGCATGTCCCTTTAAATTTCAGCCATACATTCCTGGAATTACAACTTTCACAGTGCAGACGGAGACTCCTGTCAGTCAGAGCGCTGGGTTTGTTCACTCTCAGTAGTTCAGTTTGTTTCTGGTTTGTTTAAAAAAGGGTTTTTAAATTCTTTATTTGGCTTCAGAAGTAGGAACAACTCCTTCTCGGGCCCTCCAGGGTCTCGCTGCCTTTTTGAGATCACTGCAGCAGCTTTTCTAATCAACAGCACTGACAGTTGTTCTTTTGTGATTAAATTATTAGAGTTAGTGAAAACTGCAAAGGTAGAGCTGAATCATTAAACAGTCCCTCCAGGACTTGGCGACCCTGATCCTGCAGATTTAAAGGAGCTGACCTTGGTTCTGTCCTGCAGCCTGTGTCTCAGCGTCTCTCTGACGTCCTCCGTGTGTTTCTGACGTTCTCTCTCAAAGTGTTTGTCAGGAGACCATTTCCTTTATGACCGACCACGATCCTGCACCTTCTGCAGAACAAGAAGATCTGGATCCTGGTCTTCACGGCCCTTTGCTGTGATTTCTGTAGGTAAATGTGAGACATATCACACGTGTCTGATGCAAAGCGACTTACATTTGAGGAACAACATACAAGCATCAACAGAGCATCAACTACAGATCTACAACTGACAATACATATTAATAAAAGTAGCAATAAATACTACATGTCACATCAGTGGGGTAAATACTTGGAGGAAGAAGTTAGAGTTAACAAAAAGTGCAATTAATACATGATATTTGTAAGAAGATAGAAGGTCAGAGGTTAGAGGTGTTATCAGAGGAAGTCTTCTCTGCAGAGTGTCCAGGAGCTTCTTGAAGTTAGAGAGGGACGCCTGCTCTGATGGCGTGCGGCAGCTCGTTCCACCATCGTGGTGTCACCGATGAGAACAGGGACTGGGATTGCTTTGTGTGAAGGGAGGCAGAGCCAGGCGGCGTTCGCTGGAGGAGCGTAGCGGCCCAGAAGGATCGTAGGCTTGGATTATGGAGTTTAGGTAGATGGTGCAGACGCAGTAGCTCTGTATGCAGCATTAGTGACTTGAATCTGATTCTGGAGGCCCTGGGGAGCCATTTGTTGGGGCACAAGCTGGGAGACCTGCTAGGAGGGCAGAGAGATAACCACGGCCTGTACCAGCAGCTGGGTGGCGTGCTGAGTGAGGTAGGGCCTGATTTTCCTGATGTTGTATAGAGCAAAGCGGCACGACCGAGAGACAGCAGCAACATGGTCTGAAAAGGACAGCTGGTGATAAAGCTAGTTGAGTTTTCTAAACAAAGAAGCGAGTTTGCTGACGTGGAAACGGCGATGAGAGGTCAGAAGGTCAAGTCGCTCTGAACTCACAGGGATTGTTGAACTTGTGTAGCTGCAACATGAAATCCTGGAGAGGCTGCTTAGAGGTCAGACAGTCTGATAAAGATCTCAGTCACTCAGGTGTTAAACGCAGGTCCAACACGGCTTCAGGCGGACTCCTTTTCTTTTAACCGGCTGAATGAAGTGAAGCAACAGGTTCAGTCTCTCTAGAGAGCAAGAGAAGGTGCAGCAGAGAGAAGCTGTGGGCTTTGTTTGTAAGTGTGATGTTTCATGATCTACATAACGAGATGAGTCCATCAGCAGCGTTCAGTCTCTTCCACCTGCAGGAGCTCAGAGAACACTCTCAGATCTGAAAGTTATTTGTTGAGTTTCCTCTCGGGTGCAGTTTGTCCTCCCCCGCTCCAGCTGGAGCTGAGTTACGGCGGCGAGCGGCAGCCGCTCGTACAGCTGGTGGGAGTTTCACCGCTGATGGATGGACGAGGAGGGAGGAGGGGGGAAGAGGAGAACAGAGAAGAGGAGCTTTCTACTGAGAGAGAACAGCGCGTCTGATTCTTCTAACGCTTTAAATATTCTCCACATCATCCGTCAGATTTGAGACACGTTAGAGATTCACACGCTCTGATAAAACGCCGCTCTGCAGCTGCAGCTGATCGCTCGGCCCAGAAAACAACTAAATTTACATGAAGTTCTGCAGAGACAACAACGTGCTTCCAGAGATCCTCAAGCTGCTCCTGTTCAGCCAAGAGGAGGAGGAGGAGGTGGAGGAGGAAGAGGAGGAGGAGGAGGGGTGAGAAAGTTTTATCCCTCTGAACACAGAGCTGATGGTCACGTTACATAAGAGGATGATTCAGAGGAGAAACAGAAGAGAGCAGATTTAGCAATGAAGATGAGGATGATGGTCAGCAGGTGGAGATGAGGATGAAGATGATGAAGATGAGGTCCAGCTGGAGTCTGAAAGCAGATGAAGAATCACAGAATTAACGCTTCCACTGTTTGTTCCCTTAAAAAGACGGAAAGACGCCAGCTGGGCAGAAACACACACTGTTTATGGCTGCAGACTATTTTTAATCCCTCGCTGAGACCCTTGAAAACTTCACAGCGGCGTCCATGCTCCATCGCTCTCTCTCTAGTTCTGTTTCTCCAGGTTTTTCCTCACACAGCTCCTGAACTGCACACACAAAATGCTCTGAACACATCATCAACGCTTTGGAAGATTTTATTGGACGTTAATATTTGTAACCCACAGAAAACAATCCACAAATGTCTACGATGATGTTCAAATATCTCACTACCCAAAACATGTATTGTTACAGTTGTGTTGTGTAAAAGTTTTTCTCCACAAAAATACAGTGTGATTTGCAAATGTGTACAATTTCCTCTGTACACACATATTTTAATTTCACATCCAAAGTGTTATTTACACATTTGCAGATCATTTCCTGTCAATTTGCAGGTCACGTTACATTTGTGACTGCCTTTTTACGCATTTGTGGAATTTTGTCCACTCTGTACCACAGAGATCTATAAATGGGACAGCAGTTTATTAATCTGCACCAGCAGGTGACGTTAACTCCCATGAGTTGTAAGAATATCCACTGCGGTACCCAGGATCATCTGTAAGAGACAACAACTTCTGCTTCTGCTGGACTTTGCTCTATCCTACTCAAATTCCAAGTAGCTGCTCATCTTATGGAGCTGCTGAGGTGTCATGTAAACGCTACTCATGAGCCTTAAAATACAGTTTTTCATGCAAAAGCCCAACGGAAAATGGACATTGACTGGACTTTTGAGGACCGTAACCTTATACATAGGGTTTACAAACAGTAGGTACAACAGTACTTTCAAAATGTAGTCTATCTATTTATTTAAATATAAATGTAAAACAATTACAGTTATAAAGTATTCAATAGTAAACTATATGCCCTTGTACAGAAACGTTTAGACGGAGTAGAGTCCAGTGGTCCAGCAGAAGCAGAAGTTGTTGTCTCCTAGTGGATATTCTTACAACTCATGAGAGGCAATGTCGCTAGCGCCACCTGCTGGTGTAGCTAATAAACTGCTGTCACACTTACAGACCTCTCTTTACAGATCTCTGTGGTTTGGAGTGGACAAAATTCAACAAATGCGTAAAAAGGAAGTTACAAATGTAACGTGACCTGCAAATTCACAGAAAGCAATCTGCAAATGTGCTAAAACTGTTCTGTGTGTAGAAGCCACTCTGTATTTTTGTGGATATGATTTTACACATCCCAAATGTAAATATACATATTTACATCATAGTGCGTGGGTTATAAATATTCAAGACCAATAAAATCTTCCATACAACGCTTCGTTCAGAACAGGACCTGAGTGGATATAACAAATTTTTAATGTTCCAGAGTGAAAGTAATCAGCTGACAGGATGAAATGTGCACCATAAACACGACTGCGATGGTGAAACACGAAACTTTCTTATGTGTTGTAGTGGCAGCACACGAGGAAACTCAGTGAAACAGTGTGTAAACCAGTTTAGTCTGGCCACAGTACACAATACCACATCGCAGGATTTATTTTCTCTGGCCAAAGCGAGGGCCATAAATTCTAAAGTGGCGTATCCCACCTTGGAGCGAGGCAGTGTCTGCGTCCCCAGGTGGTTCCTCCAGCGCCTGGAGAGACGCCATGCAGGGCCGAGGGTTGGCGATCGTATCCTCTCCAGCTCCAGGCTGCCAGAACTTCCGCAGCAGGATTCAGAAAAGGTGAAGATGGGGGCAGGTTCCCAACTGAGAACTGTGGGTGGCAAACCAGTTTTGGAACAAAACATTGTCCCATAATACCACAAGTCTGGCGTGCTCCGGATCTGTAATCGACTGTACATGTTCTGAACGACCAGACTAACAATACTAGAACAATACAAGGCAGTTCATCTGTCATTATACAACACAAGGTTGTAGTCCTTCATGCTGCACACACAGAGTGTAACAGAGAGTTAAATGTGTAATAAAATAAAACAAGTGAAAGTAAACAGCAGAAACCAGATGATATTATGAAAGTTCCATCTTCACATTAAACAGTCTGACATTTAGGAAACAGAGTCCATCCTGACTGAGTCTGAGCATCAAGCATCATCTCCTCTCATCTGGCGGGACTCTTGCACTGAGAGCTCAGAACACGGACCGCCTGCCGAGCGCTTGATCCGAGATCCTGATCGTTCAGGTCTCTGTAGAGATGTGGGCTCAACAGTCTCTGGTTTCTGTTTCTTGGCCAACAGGAGTCCCATTTAGTCCAGACCGGACCAGAAAAGGGGCAGAATTAAGTCAAAGCTGGGCCAGCTCACTCAGCACCCGCCCTGGTACCCGGTCAGGTTGATATGGCTGGTGGATCCTCTCAAAGGTCGCTGCTCTTTGATCCGAACCCTTTTCCAGTGACTGTCTCTCTGTTAAAGGGAAGACGAGTAAAGATGGAAGAAAGCAACCAGGACGCCCGTCCTCTTTCAGGTAAAGCAACGAGCTAGATGAGCTGCCATTTCTTAGCTTACCCTAATAATAACCTCCAGAAGACCACAAGATTCATTTGTCCTTCATCTGAGATCACAGACAACACGAGCGTGTGCTCAGTGAGCTCGCTCACCGGTTTGAACAAACTGAAAAAGGGAGTGAGCGGACATCTTTGCTCATCAGTATGAAAAAGATAAAACATGTCCTGCAGTGCGAGGGGGAACGCTGATGAGGAGGAGGAAGAAGTGGCGTGGACGCTGGCAGTCCGAGGTGCAGCAACAAGAATCCAGAAAACAGTGTAGTCCCTGAACTCAGTGCGGTGAAGCTATAAATACATCCATAGATCCAAAAGGACAAAGAAAGGCCAAAACACGCGATGTTATCAACACTGGGCGAACAAAGAACAAAGAACAGCTTAAAATCCACAGGTGAGACACATCAGCCAATCAGGGAAGAGAGAGAGAGACAGGAAGTAACACAACAACAGCAGGAACAGGACTTCAAAGTAAAACAGGAAACCCTGAAAACAAAACACCTGAACCGTCAAATACCACCTGTTACATTGATTTATTGTGTATGAACCGGTCGCCCGAAGTCTTAATGTCATGGTGAAACCAAAGCAGCTGCACTCAGGAAGTGTTTCACTTCATTATTAACAAAATGTTGATCCTTTATGAGGGCCCGAGGACCTTTTGAAACTGAAGGAATTCTTTTTCTCTTTCTGGAAAACTCACAAAACGTTGCAGAAAATTCAAACCCTACGAAAATTCACGTGTTTTAAGGTTTTCATGCACCAATGAGGCAAAATGGCTCGCTAGCAGCGTTCTTCTTTCTTTCACCATTCCTCTTGGAGTGGTTCCATGACCCCAACAGGAAGTCGGCCATTTTGAATTTAATGTGTTTTTTGGCCATTTACAGCTTCCGTACTTTAACTCCTGGAGAAATAAACCGATTGACTTAATTTTTTCCTGTCTGTTCTAAAAGGCATTGTCAATAAAGAGTTGTGCTATCTGTGAATTTTCATCAAAGGGCGTGTCCGTGGCGTTGAAAATTGATGATTCACCATGAAACAGGAAGTTGATATGACTACTGTGTCCATGCTCACATCTGAACTTATCTAAAATTATTTTCGATTAATCTGTTAATTGTGTTGTTTTGGCAGGCTGTGCACATTACCAACCGTTGGGTATCATTTCAGCTGATTCTGATTCTACTTATAGACTCTGGTTCTTGTAGAATCTCGGTTCTGGTTCCTTCAGCACAGATCTCCTTCCTCCTCTTCCTCCTCGCTCCTCTTCCCCTTCATGTCTCTAAAGTGAGAGGAGTCTCTGTCCTAGAGCGGCGTCTCTGGGACTCGTCTCATCTGCAGCCATCGTCGGTTTCCCTTCAGTATAAAAGGTGAACGTCAGCTCATCTGTGTTTTGGACCTGAGGCGTTGCTGCTGTTAGCGTTAGCTGGATCTGGGAAAGCGCGACACGTTGAACACGTTCCATCTGCTAGAAATAGTTTTTTTCTTTTCTTAAAAAATGCATCAAAGTGGACTTTTAAAGTCCTGGACAGACATTCATCCTGTGAGAAACACTGAGGCGTAGGTTTAAACCAGATTTGCAGACCATTTTAAGAAAACAGGAGTATAGTAGTCCAACTTGATGATTGCAGGGACCCTGACCAGCTTTGAAAGTGCACTGACTGCCCAACGAAGGGGCCACACACTGTTTATTTTAATAAGATATACCCTCAAGCTTTAGAATAATGTTTATGGAACTGAGGGTTCAGGAAAGAAAATTAAGGGACAGCCGACTTCCTTTCCCTGAACCCCATCCTGAACCACGTCCTGAACTACATCCTGAACCCCATCCTGAACCCCATCCTAAACCACATCCTGAATCACATCCTGAACCACATCCTGGGCCCTGAGGCAGCACAAAACAGAATGTTTGAATGAAACGTCTCATACGTTTCTTATTAAATGCAGACCAACATGGAACCAGAGCGACTAAAATAAGACTACATGTGTAAGCTGCCTCCTTGATGTAACTGATAAAAGCTCAGTCATAAAGTGCACACACCTTTGTAGAAGCATGGAGTGTCAGTAGAGAGGCTGTGGAACCAGACAGTGATTCCTCACCGTGGTGCGGCGCTGATGTGAAAACCAATGATCCGTGGGAGCTGTAGTACCTGACTCTGCAGGACGAGTTACCCCATCAGGTGAGCAGTGTGCACCGTAGCATGAAGGTTTAATAATACGCATCCAGCTCAGGATGACAGTGCTTGTATATAATGTTTTAAAAGCAAATCTGTGTTATTCTCTGCTAACGCTACCCAAACACCTGAAACGACTTGGTCCTCAAAGCTCAGCCTGCCTCGCTCGTCCTGGTACGTTTGCCCGTGGGCTGGATGACCCAGTCCACCAATACATCACCTAACTCTGGTGAACACAAAGTGGGAAATTGTCCTGACACCATTTATTTATTGACAAGCATTTTGCGCTAAGTGCCAACATTTTACAACAAACCTGAAAATGAAATAAAGCTTTTTCGTTGTTACCTGTCCAACAGGATGAAAGCCCACTCTGGGTCGGCTTTTATATCCAAACAAAGCAGAGGTCTGTCCGTGACTCAGGCCTTTCTGATGCCGGTTGCCGGTACTGATCCCTGCAGACCGGTTTGGAGATGTTCTGACCCAGCCGTCTAGATATCACAGTTTGTCAGAGTGGCTCAGATCCTCACGCTGCCCATTTTTCCTGCTTCTAACATCAGCTCTGAGGACACAATGTTCACCTGCTGCCTGATAGGTCCACTGACAGGTGCCATGGTGACCAGCAGCAATCAGGGTTATTCACTTCACCTGTCAGCGGGCATGATGTTGTGGCTGATTGTTGTACAGAAACTTCTTGGTTTGTGAAACTTAAAAAAATAAATACATATACAACAGAAATAGTTGAAAAGGGGAGTGTCCTAACTTTATCATTATCATATCAGACATTGTTAGTGGCCAGCTGTGGTTACAGTACTTGCTTTCTGTTGCTTTGATTTTATGTCATTCTTATTTATGCACCAACATACCAAAGAAAATTACTGGTAAGTTTGAACTTGGCACTAAACCTGATTCTGAGCATTTTATTCTGGGTGATAAAGCCTGGCAGTTATTTTGGAGCTCTGCAGGCCTCTGTGCTGGGTGGGGGGGGGGTGCAATCTTGGAATAGTCATTTCGGGTTAGTGCACAACAGAGACAACACCACCCTGTCGAAGTTAACACACTAAGCAAGTAAGTACACAGTGTACTGCGAGTTAGTATATTCAAGGAAGTACCTGAATTGAGACACAGAAATAAACCTGCAGAGTTGTATATGTGCATACTCAGGGTACATATGTGGGTATAAACATGATGTGTTGGATCCTTTTCTACTTTTTATGTAACCTTTATTTTGACAGGACAGTCCCACTGAGACACAGAATCTTTTACTCTGGAGTCCTGTGGACATCAGCTCAACGAAACTAATCCTGAAAAAGAAAAGTCCTGCTGCACGGACTGCTTCCCTCTCGGACACCAGAGAAGAAGAAACGTTGTCTTGTGTGTTCATCAGACGAAGGAGACGTGAAGCGGCCTCTCGTGGCTTCCTGTTCGGTGCAGGTCAGAGAGTTTGAAACACTCACACAAACAAACCTCAAAAAACAAAGCGAACGACTTCAGTGTCAGAAAACTGCTGAAACACGAGGGCCGGCAACAACGCTGCAAGTTATTTTCTCCAGCTGAGGGAAGCTTTGGCAGAAAATAGACTCCTACAGGCTCCTCGAGGGCCCCACAGCCTCCACAGGTCTCTGACGCAGAGTGTGTGGAGGAGGAGGAGGTGTTGATGCAGAGATGCTACAAATTTGAACTGTTATGGATTCTGTTTGGCTCGCTGCACCGGTGCAATGTAATAAAAAATGTGCTGTGTTAGCAGGAGGGTGGGCTGCTGCAGAGTGTGTGTGCTGCTTCCTTTGTCCTTTATTAGTCTTTTGTCTGCTGCCTTTGAGGACCCTGGTTTATTGCAGGTTTCAGCTCTATAATTGTTTTGATTTCCTGTCAGCAGCTGCAGAGACAAAAGCCTTCCACAGTCACCTTTACTCTACTTTATTTATTTATTTATTTTCATTTGATTTTTAAATCAACGTGTCGTCATCGTGAGTGACGCATTTAGAAAT